GTGTAGTTTTAATTGTACTTGTAGCTTGTCATTGTCAGCCTGCTCTTCTGCTGGTTTGATTGTAGGACGGGTTAGGGTAGGGTGTGTTTTTTTTTTTTTTTTTTTTTTAAAACAACATCCCTACCAGTGATAGGTTACTATAGAAGAATAGGATAGTTTGGAGACTGTGCGGACGTTGTTGGGTGACTGGCGTTTTGGGTGTCACTACTTGGGATGGACATTCCTGCAGTCCGGATCTGTATCCGGTCGGAGCTGCCGGAGCCGGAACTCGGCCTGCTGTTTTCTTTTGTAAGGGACATCGGGCCCGTTTCCCGGCTTTTGTATGTATAATAACGACTTGTAAAAAAAAAAAAAAAAACATACTTGTGTAGATGAAATAACTCCCATCTGTTCAGTAGTCAAAATATTTCTGGCAGCTGGTTGGTGGGAACACCTAAGATTGCTGTTCTTGCAAATATGTAACGTGTGTTTCTTCTTCTTCTTCTTTTTTTTTTTTTTTTTTTAATGATCCAACATGGCAAACAATCTTCTTCTTTTTTACATACATACATACACGTGTTGATGAAACAACTCCCATCTGTTCAGTAGTCAAAATATTTCCAGATTTTTTTTTTCTTTTTTTTTTTAAATGATCCAAGATGGCAAACAGTCTTGTTCTTCTTCTTCCTCTTTTTTTTTTTAAGGGTGACGGTCTTGAGATATCATCATTGAGCTGACCGGCGCCAGGCAATTCAGAAATTGTTGGCTTTACTCATCAAATTCCACCATCTGGGTTCGAACACGGGTCTGTATTTTAACAGTTCAATGGCGTACCCACTGAGCTAGGCTCTTGGGTCAATCTTCTTCTTCTTTTTTTTCTTTTTTTTTATCTTCTTTTTTTGCAGTATTGCTTGAATTTGCTTCCATGATATTAGGTGCATTAGCCGCAATGGCTCAAAACAAAGTCCCCAGATACGATCAGGCCTGCATTAAATGAAGCCGTAAAAAATCGAAATAATGGAGTGAGGCCCATTGCCTTCATCATTTAATGTATGGCTCTGCAACGTATGGCTCTGCAAAGCCAATGATCAGGCCTTTCTATAAGCTGTCATTAACGTCCACGCAGGATCGCGGCCCCATATCATGGGCATGACAGGGCATAATTGCACGATTCACATTCTGAATGCACATGGATATGAAGGTTGTCCAGATGCATTCAAAATGTTGGCGAATGGCCAATGGTGTGCAACTAAGCTCCCAGTCACATCGCCACTCATCAAAGGACGAGCCGGTACTTGCCAGTTTTTCAAAAAACATTGACGATATATATATATAACACTTTTTTTTTTTTTTCCCTGAAAATCTAACACTTCTGGAAAGAAAGAACAAAGAAGAAGAAGAAGAAGAAGAAGAAGAAGAAATAAATTCTCGAAATGACCAATAACCATCTCTGCGTACTCTCTGCCCTCCAGCAGCACTCAGCTGAGGCGAAGGATTCTCCCTCTTCCTCTCTTTTTCCTCTCTTCCAAATAATTAAACACAGGCGAGAGAGAGAGAGAGAGAGAGAGAGAGGAGCCTAGCTCAGTTGGTACACCGAAGAACTGTTTAAATTGAAATACAGACCCACTGATGGAATCAGATGAATGAAACAATATTTCTAGAATTACATGGGCCCGGTCAGCTCAATGACGATATCTCAAGGCCATCGCCCTTTTGAAAAGAAAAAGAACCAAAAAAAAAGAGAGAGAGAGCGAGAGAGAGAGAGAGAGAGCACCTTCTTTTACCCCGACTGGTGACGAGGCCCTCCTCTCCTCTACGTAATTATCCGATTCTGACTACTACACCCCGTCTTCCCCCCGAACATAACACACCTGATAATGAATTTATACAAACCATCTTTCCGGCC